GCACACGTGCACAGGCACACACAGGCACATACGTGCACGCACACACGCATGCACACAGGGCCTTCGCTCTGTGACACAGTCTCCCTTGTTTCTTCTGAAACATCTCCCCAGGGATGTGGATGTGGGCTCTGTTGGACAGGAATGCTGGTAGAAAGCTATTTTATTTTGCAGGAAATTGTCTTATTTCTTACGTTTGTGTGGATTAACTGGGATTGGGTTTTTTTCCACCCAGCCAGCAATTGTGCACTTCAGTGGTGATCAGAGCGAGTCCCTCCCCTGTCCCCACGGGGACTCTGCCCTGGGAGGGGATTCAGGGTTGTAGGGATCCTCAGGCCGGACCCCGAGTTGGCTGGGAGGGTGCCGATGAGCATTTTGCCCCGTCCCTGCCTGACTCAGGGCACAGAGCCCAGGGCCTGGGAGTGCTCAGGGCAGGAGACACAGCAGATGCCAGCATGAGGACGGCCCAGTCTGGCAGACAGATGTCAGACAGAGGAAGAGGAGGCAGTCCACACGCCAGTGGGGCCAGAGGCCTGCACAGAGCACCGTTCCCACAGGGTCTGAGTCCTTGTGGGATGAGAGAACCCCACAGTGGATGGTGAAGCCGGTGGGCCTTCCACATCCAAGGCAGGCGTCCCCTTGCTGTCAGCGGGGCCCCAGACCTGCCCTGGAGGCATCCCTGACCTCCAAAACCAGGATAAGGCCATGAGCCCAGGAGATGGGGCTGGTTGGGGGCAGGGAGGAGGAGAGGGGTGGATTCTAAGGCTGGGCTGAGGATGTGGCCTGGGGTCTGGGGATTCTTGTGCTGGAGCCAGCGGAAGCCCCTGTATGAGGGGAGAACCGACTGCACCGCTCGGCTGCAAGGCGAGGCACGGGGTTGGTGGGCTGTGGGGCTGGGGCTGGGGGTCAGCTCTGGGAGCAGCACGCAGGCTCAGGGAACCCCTCCGGAGGTGCCTGGGAGTTGGGGGAGGGGGCCCACCTCATACCCACACTGTCCTGTGACCCACCCGGGGGGACCACCCCAGGCCTGGCAGAGAGCACCGTGCCCACCCTGGCGCTGGAGGTGGTTCTGGGGTTTGGGGGAGTTTCTCTTCTGCTCTCCCCTTCCCCTCAGGCTGGAGAGTGCTGGGGTTCAGCCTCCTGTGACCGTGGGGCACCCTGGGCAGAAGCTTGCTGACGAGGGGCCCTGCGGGCCTGGCACTGACCTCAGACGGGCAGGGAGTCCGTGAACCCATCAATTGCTGCCTTGGGCAGCGGTGGGCGTGGCAGTACCTCAGGGTTCAGCACCTGCCTGACCACCTGGCATCAAAGCTGCCAGTCCTCCGCAGTCCCCGCACTACCTGCCACGCCCTGCTCGGCAGAGGAAGGAGACTCGGGCCACACCCACGGAGGGACCTGCTCTGGCTCAGCATGGAATCCTAGGTTGTAGCCGCCTGCTTCCCCGGCTGTGTTTGCGTAGCAAGGTGGCTGAATCTGCACAGAGAGCAGGACGCCAGCCAGGTGTGCGCCTCCCGGGAAACCGTCCTAGAGAGGGGCCAGGCCGCACACCTGGGGCTGGAAGGCTCCATGACTGGATGTTTGCAAGAAACAGAAAGAAGCTTCCGTCCCGTCTCAGCCACAGGCACGCCGGATCCTCTGCTGCTTTGCCACAAGCTCGGGGGTTTCCCTCCCACAGCCTCAAGTGGACCAGGCAGCCCTGGTGTTGCTCCCTGGGTGCTCTTGACCGCCCAAGGCGGCTAAGGAGAAAGGCCTATCTTGAAAGGACTGGAAAACAGTGCGTCAGTATTTTAAAAATTAAGCTACACCATCATAGGACCTGGTTATTGCCTTCCTGGGTATTTACCCAAAAGAGACACAGCACACACCCACGCACGATGCGTGTGCCCACAGCGGCTTTATCTGTAAGGGCCCCAAACTAGAAACACCCCCAGGTCCACCCACCGGTGAAGGAGAATAAATCGTGATGTGTCTGCACAATGTGACACTGCCCAGCAGTGAACGAAGGAGCTACCGATGCTCTCGACAACCTGCACGGGCCCCAAAATAACCGCGCGGGGCGGAGGGCGTCCGGCAGCCAGAACGGTGCACGCGGACTGGCTCCACGCAGGCGAAGCCCCAGAAACACAGGCTCATCTCCAGCGAGGAAAACACAGCAGTGGCCTGGGGGCAGGGGAGGTGGTGGAAAGAGGAGGGAGGGAGGGATTCCGGGGGGCTCAGGGAATCTTTAGGGCAACCAACACAGTTGCCCCCTGATCGCAATGATAGTTTCATGGGTGTGTGCATCAAAACGTATCACAGAGTTTGGGTGCGGTGATTCACGCCTGTAATCCCAGCACTTTGGGAGGCCAAAGTGGGCGGATCACCTGAGGTTGGGAGTTTGAGACCAGCCTGACCTATATGGAGAAACCCATCTCTACTAAAAAATACAAAAATTAGCCAGGTGTGGTGGCGGCATCTGTAGTCCCAGCTATTCGGGAGTTTCAGGGAGGAGAATCGCTTGAACCCGGGAGGCGGAGGTTGCGGTGAGCTGAGGTCGCACCACTGCACTCCAGCCTGGGCGACAAGAGCGAAACTCCGTCTCAAAAACAACAACAACAAAAAAAAAAACGTTTTGCAGAGAAGGACTCAGAAGCCAATGGAAAAGCCGCCAGTAACTGAAGCTGGCCCAATATGAGCCACGAAACAGGATGTGACACTAGGGTGTGAGCCAAAGTGTAAAATACCTGAGGTCCACATGGATGTCAGTGAAGGGCTGTGCCTACCCATGGGAGAGCAGAGACAAATCTCGGTGCAGCAAAGTTGCAAATGTGTGTGAAATCCCCTTCCGGGGGAGGTGGGGGTCGCACAAGGGACTTCATCCAGAGAGGACAGTTCAAAAAGAAAAAGACGGGCCGGGCGCGGTGGCTCAAGCCTGTAATCCCAGCACTTTGGGAGGCCAAGACGGGCGGATCACGAGGTCAGGAGATCGAGACCATCCTGGCTAACACGGTGAAACCCCGTTTCTACTAAAAAATACAAAAAACTAGCCGGGCGAGGTGGTGGGCACCTGTAGTCCCAGCTACTCGGGAGGCTGAGGCAGGAGAATGGCTTAAACCCGGGAGGCGGAGCTTGCAGTGAGCTGAGATCTGGCCGCTGCACTCCAGCCTGGGCGACACAGCAAGACTCCGTCTCAAAAAAAAAAAAAAAAAAAAAGACAGAGAGGCCTGTAATCCCAGCACTTTGGGAGGCCGAGGCGGGCGGATCACAAGGTCAGGAGATCGAGACCACGGTGAAACCCCGTCTCTACTAAAAATACAAAAAATTAGCCGGGCGCGGTTGTGGGCTCCTGTAGTCCCAGCTACTTGGGAGGCTGAGGCAGGAGAATGGCGTGAACTCGGGAGGCGGAGCTTGCAGTGAGCCGAGATCGCGCCACTGCACTCCAGCCTGGGCGACAGAGCGAGACTCCGTCTCAAAAAAAAAAAAAAGAAAAAAGACAGAGAGGCGCAGGGTTCGGGTGAGGGAACCCCAGCCAGGTACCAAGGTCAACGTGGGCAGTGAAGGTCGCACTGATGGTGTCCCCCGTGTGACATGGTGGAAGCCCCGCCCCCATTCTCTTCCTCCCCGACCATCACCGGATTCAGTGTGAGAAACTCAGCAGACAGAGCCCAACTGAGGGGTGCCCCACAGACACCTGAGCAGCACCCCTCAAGGCCGCTGAGGTCATCAAGGACCAGGAAAGGCTGAGAAACGTCACTCAGGAGGAGCCCACGGATGAGAGACACAATGTCACGTGGTGACCTGGAAAGGGACCTTCAGTAAGTAACGGAATCTGGAGAAAGCCTGGACGTCAGCTGACTGGACGTCCCAACACTGGCTCACTGATTGTGACAAAGGGATCACGCGAATTAGGACGCCAGCGAGCGGGAAACTGGGGGAGGGGCACGCAGGAACTCCCTCATCTGTCTTCACATTTTTTTTCTGTAAATATAAAACATTCTATGCTGGGTGCAGCGGCTCACGCCTGTAATCTCAGCACTTTGGGAGGCTGAGGGCGGATCACCTGAGGTCAGGAGTTCGAGACCAGCCTGGCCAACATGGAGAAACCACATCTTTACTAAAAATACAAAAATTAGCCGGGTGTGGTGGCGCATGCCTGTAATCCCAGCTACTCGGGAGGTTCAGGCAGGAGAATCACTTGAATCCGGGAGGCAGAGGTTGCAGTGAGCTGAGATGGCGTCACTGCACTCCAGCCTGGGCAACAGAGTGAGACTCCGCCTCAAAAAAACAAAAACAAAAACATATATATCTATATCTCTATATATCTATCTATCTATATATAAAATATATATCTAAAGTAACCATTTTTTGTTATGTATTTATTTATGTTTGAGATAGAGTCTGGGCAACAAGAGTGAAACTCCGTCTCAAAAAAACTCTGCCTTACCTGGGGGTAAGGTAGAGACCAAGGACCCACAAGATGCTCCCCAAACCAGGCTGAGCTCCAGGGAGCTGCTTGGACCCTGGAAGAGGACAGAGGCCCCCCAAGGCCTTAGGGGAACCCGGAGACTGCTGGGCCCAGAGGGAGGTGTCTGGACCCTCCAGCCTGTGCCCACATCCTCTGGCCCACCTGCCCATCATGCCTCTGCCAACAGGGCCCAGAGTTGATGCACCCCCACAGCCAAGTGTCTGAGTCACCAAACCCTGAATTCAGAAACGCACATGTTCCCCGGGACCCCTGAGAATTGGGCTGTGGCCAGGCCAAGGCCAAGGCCAATGTCCTCTGGGGAAGCCCCAGCCTAGGTCAGCAGTGGCCTCCTAGGGTCAGCCATCCCCAGGGGCCTCATTACAGGACCAGGGTGGTAAGAAGTCCACAGCTGCCCCACACAGCAGCAGTCGAGGGGAGGCAGGTGGGCTGGGGGCCCTGGGGGAGTGGGGCCAAGACCTGCTGCGCCCGTGAGACAGGAGGCTTGGAGGATGGGGGTGGAGCTGCATCAGGGAGGTCCTGGCCCAGACTAGACCTGTGGGCAGAGTAGGGTGGGTGCCAGCAGCCTCAGCACAGACACATTCCGTCCCACCCACCACCAGCGCTCCCCTCTGCAGCTTGTCCCAAGTCAGGGAACAGCTTGGCCTGATCCTGCTGATGCCTCAGGGCAGGACAAGGCGGGGAGGCTCCAGGGAGGCCACCCATGCTGGGCACACAGTGGACCGTCGCACCGTGTCTTCCGCCATCACACCCAGACCCAGGGCTGGCCAGGAGCCTTCGGGGCAACAGCTCTGAGGATGGATGTAGGCGTACGAGGGCAGGGACCCGGGCTTTGGGAATCAGAGGTGAGGCTTGGGACCTCCCTGGGAGCTGGTGGTCTCTGCGGGTGCCCACCCCCAGCCCACATTTCCACCCCCGTTCCCCTCCGAAGGTTGAGACCAGGGAATGGTGGGCGCCAGTGGAACGCATGCTCCTCAACCTTTGCTGGGCCGAGTCCAAGGAGGGACCCCTACCTCCCCAGCCCAACCTCCCTCTGCCCCGCCTCTCCCCTTAGCCCCCCTGCTGAGGAGGAAGAGGAGCACCCTTCCTGCACTTGGAGAAAAAGAGGTTGCTTGTCCTGGGGTGGGGGCCAGCAGGGGACCTCATTACCAGGGGGTCCCAGCCCAGACCCTCACCCACCCCCTTCCCTACCCCCTTCCTCACCCCCTGCCAGGCCGGCTGCTGCCCAGGAGTCCTGCCCCCTGCAGCCCCGTGGGGAGCCCTGGGACCCCTGTGGGTGGGCCTCACCCTGCTGGGGACACTCCAGCCACAGCAAGGGCCCCCAGAGGGGCCTGAACGTGCCTTTCCACAAGATCCGTCTCCAGCCTCAGGAAGGAGCCGGTGAGTGGCCTCCAGGATGGGGAAGGAGGAAGGAGGGTGCAGCTGGGCCAATGGGCCTGACTGCCACAGTGCACATGGCCCCCACGGCCCTGGAGAACCCTGCCAGGTGGGAAGAGCTCACACCCTCTGTGCAAGTGGAGAAACTGAGGCTCAGGAAGGCTGCCCACCCCCTGGCCAGGGTCACCCATCCCTGTCAGATCCAGGCTCCTGCCAGAGTACAGGTACCAGCCCAGCCTGGGACCCTTGCCTGGGGAGGGGGTCCTGGCCCTGCCCACCACCAGTCCCTGCAGTTCTAGGGGAGTGGCGCGTCCTGGGGCTGGCAGTCAACACCTTCAGGCCGGAGGGCAGTTCCCAATTCAGGATGTTGGTGGCAGCCGTGGTCACGTCCAGCCTGCTCAGCTGAAGCTTGGTGCCAACAGCCCCTGCCAGGTGATGGGACTGCCCGGGGAGGGGAGATGGAGGCCTGGGGGTGGAGACCCCTCATACTGACAGGCAGGTGGGCAGACCCCGTGGGCGGTCCCCGTGGGCAGAAGGAGGCAGCCCCTGCCTTGAGGGAGCTCACCCACATCCTCAGCACAGCTGTAGGGCCCCTGCTCCTCTCCTGGGGCCTGCAGTTTGGAGGAGGAGCCTGTCCTGAGATCCAGGGGCAGGGGAAGATCAGGGCAGGGTGCAGGGCCAAGGGACACAGTGACTGTGGCTGGGATGCCCCAATTCCACACATGCAGTGAGAACTTCCACGGGCAGGGACATGGTCGGGGTGGGGACAGGCAGGCTGCCAGGAAGAGCAGCCTCAGGAAGAGTGGGGAGCAGGACCCTCCGGGAGGCCAGGAACCCCCCCCGCCAGCTCACCCAACCTGCCCCTCCCCAAAGCCTTCGCCCCAGCCTCACCCCACCACAACCTCCTCCTCCCACAGGGACCCACTCTGCGAATGCTGGGCCAGGACCCCTGTCCCTCAGAAGCAGCCAGATCAGAACATTCTTAGAGGCCAGGAGGCTGAGTCTTCCCTGCCTGACACCCCAAGAAAGGCCCAGAACTGCCCCCAAGTTAAGGACACTCCACATCTGTAATCCCAGCACTTAGGGAGGCCGAGGCAGGAGGATCAACTGGGGTCAAGAGATCGAGACCAGCCTGGGCAACAGAGTGAGACCCTGTCTCTACAAAATAAAATAGAAAAATGAGCTGGGTGTGGCGGTGCATGCCTGTAGTCCCAGCTACTTGGGAGGCTGAGGAGGAAGGATCACTTGGGCCCAGGAGGCTGCATTGAGCTGTGATCGTGCCATTGCACTCCAGCCTGGGTGACAGAGCAAGACCCTGACCCTAAAAACATAAATAAATTAAAAAGGACACTGCAGGGAAGGTCTTGGTGTGGCTCCAGAGGGGGCACGGTCAGCAGCCTGTCCCCAGCAGTAGGGTCCTGACCCTCACCTGCTCCCTGCAGAGGTGCGGCTGGAAAATGACAAGATGGAGGCTACGCCGGAGACCAGGCGCCAGGAGAAGGGACATAGGCCCAGCTGCTTGGTTAGGCCCTGAGCACGGTGGGAAGGGTCCGCCCAGGATCCCCTGAGGGCTGGGCTGGGAGGGAGGGTTCTCCCCAGGGCTCACCCCCCTTCTTGGCACAGGGTAGGGGAAGGAGCTGGATTTCGACCTGAGGGAGAAATTTATCAAATTTGACCAGATCCTGGGCATCAGCCTTGACCACATTCCCTTCCTGCCCCAGACTGGGCTTGGAACCTGGGCTGCTCCTGGCGGCCCTGCCCACCCACAGTGCTCAAGGACAGTTGGATCCGGCTCCTCCTGGCACAGACTGTTTATTTCTGATGGGGTGGTAGGGGCAGGTGTGGTTGAGCCTCCCACGGGGAGGGGGCACCAGCAAGGCTGGGACTGGCGGTGAGGGTGGGGTCGCCAAGGGCCGGGCCAGGCTCCACTGTTCTCAGGACAGAGTGGCAGGCCCAGGCAGAGAATCGCGGAGGGGCTGCAGTGACAGAATGGAGACGAAGAGACCTGCGGGGGAGAGAGGGGCAGAGCGGGTGCCAGGGCCGGGAGGAAGGAGGGCCTCGTGGATCCCAGCAGCTGCCTCCCTCCCAGCTGGGTGCTCTCCTGGCCTGTCCCACACTCTCAGGTGAACAGAGCCAGATTCATCCTCAAACACAGGCCACCCTCCATGGTGCCCAGCAGAAACTGCCTTAGGCTGGGGGGCTGGGACCATGGGGTGACCAGAGGCCATGGAGGCCGGTGACTGAGGGGCCCTGCCAAGCTCCACAGCACCTGGCACCCCCTGCCCCTGCTAGGAGCACTTCCCTCACCGCTCGCTCTTCTCAGAGCTGTGGCTCCGTCCTCCAGGGTTGCCTCGAAGGAACCCCAGAGTGAGAGGCAGGAGCCCCCATCTCAGGGGTGTGGGTCCAGGCTCCCTGTGGCCACCCCACGTTCCCCAGATGGGAGCTAGGAGACCCTGAAGATCCAGGCCCAGCCCTGACCGAGGGTAGGCACGGAGGTGGGGAGCAGCCTCGAGAATCGGGTCTCCACTTGTGCCCTGCAGGAGCCAGCCCCTTGCGTTGAATGGTCCTTCTGGCTTCTGGTCTCTGTGGGGAGTGGTGCCCAGCCTGGTGCTACAGTGACCCAGGGGTCCTTAGGCGAGGCCCTCCCAGGCTTGGCCCCTGCCCAGACCCCGCTGGCCTGGGGAGCTCCCGCCCAGCCCCTAAATGGGCAAGGTGAGGACACTTTAGCCCTGACCTTCCATGACCTAGCTGGGTGCTTCCTGGAGTCAGACGGGGCCTCAGAGGTCCACAGCACTGCTCACAGCACCGGGATCCTGGAGCTGAGTGTCTTGAGGCTGGGGGTGTGGGTGTGGTGTCGGGGGTTAGGCCACCCCCTTCTCACGGCCCTGCTGCCTTTGGGATGCAGCAGCCTCTGCCAAGCCTGCTGGAGCCCCACATTGGACAGATCGCTGCAGCACCCCCAAATTGCCTTTTGTCCCCCAGAGACAGCCAACCCAGCTCTGGCTCCAAAGTAGCAAAACTGGCTGCAGCTTGGCCATAACTGTCTTTGGACCTCATGGCCAGCAACGCACATACGAGTCTCAAGTCCCAGGGACACACCTGCTCCCCTGTCCTCTGGCTTGTCCCCGGCTCCCCTGTCCTCTGCCTCATCCCCGGCTGCTGGGGAAGCCTGACCTGCAGGGTGGTGCTGGGAGAGGCGGCCAGAGGCAGCCAGAAAGGGTGAGTGAAGAGGTGGCCGTTCCCAATGTCAGCCAGGAACAGAGAGGCGGGCTGGGTGAAGAGTGGTCCCCATGCTTTGAGCAGCTCAGAGATGCTGAGGAAGGGCGGTCCCACGTGGCCCGTCCACTCAGGCCTCCTTCAGTCACAGAGCAGCTCCCTTGACACAGGGAGGCCTGGGGGAGAATTTCTTGCCCCTAGAGGAGCTCTGAGCTGGGCTGCCCCCACTGCACCCAGCCCTGGTCTCCCCGGCTACAATGCACCAGGCTAGGCACCGCTCCCCACAGAGACCAGAAGCCAGAAGGACTATTCAGCCCAAGGGGCTGGCTCCTGCAGGGCACAAGTGGAGACCCAATTCCAGAGGCTGCTCCCCACCTCCATGCCTACCCCCAGTCAGGGCTGGGCCTGGATCTTCTGCCCGACTTGTTCAGAACACTCCACACAGTCTCAGTGACCCTGGGCACTGCCCTCCCCTACGGAAGATCCTTAGTGGGGCAGCTCTGGCAGGAGTGAGCCTCTGGGGCCGGCAGGCTTCAGTACCTCTGAAAGGTGGAGTGTAGAGGCTGCCCCTCCCCAATCCCAGGCTGGGGGAGCTGATCTCCGGCCACAGGTGGGTGGGGCTCACGAGGTTCCCATGAGTTTATTCGAGGCTGGTGGACACTCAGTCGAGCTCAGGTCCCACCAGTCACTGGGTCAGCCTCGGCCCTCGAGGGCAAACCATTGGTGGGGACGCTGGATAGGGGCACCACTGCCCCCAGAGGATGATGGCCAGGGCCCCAGGGCAGACATAGCTTCCCTCCAGGAAAAGGTTGGGGTCAGTTCTGGGAGCCCAGGCCCAGGCCACCAGTCTTGTCTCGGATCTGCCTGGGCCGCAGGCAGGGGGATGGCCTTCGTGACCTCTTAGGGTGGAGGCCAAGTCCCTGCATTCTGTGACTCAAAGCAACTGGTTCCCAGAGCAGCGGGGTGGGGCGGCCAGCCTCCTTCCTGCCCGCCCTCCCCCAGGCTCCACCAAGGTCCTGCCTGGCAGCCAAGCTCAGAGCAAAGGGAAGGACACAGAGAGTGTGCAGTGGGGGGCGTCCTTGTCCCTGCCCAAGCTGCAAGAAGCTCCGTGAAGGCCCCTTCTGCCCCTGTCCACCTCGCACAATCCTAGTGGGGGGAGGAGGGAGAAACCCGGCGTGTGTTCACCAGGAGCTGGCAACTGCCCTGCCCTTCCTGGATGTGGTGAGAGACGAATCTCCGGCCCTCGGGTGAGCCCAGGTGCGCCCATGAATCAGGGCTCGTGGGCGGCTTCCACTCACTGGTCCTCACTCAACCGTGTCTGGGGAGTGTCCCTGGCCTCCCGCTGGCCATCTTGACCACAGGGACTGAGGAGTCGGTTCCTGAACCGAAGCATGAGTTTGTCAGCTCTTCCAGCTCCCCAGGCGCCAATGACCACATGGTCTCAGTAACGACTGGTCAGGGAGAAGGGACATGGGACCTGCCGGGCCTTCTGCTGCCCACTAGAAAATGAGGAAGAGGAGGGGCTTGGTCCTCGTTCTAGGCACCGGGTTTGAGGGCTGGACACCCGAGATCCCTGGGAACCCCTTTGGCTATGGGAAGACCTTGCCCCATTAGGCTTCAGAGTCCCTCCCCGGCAGGTGACCCAGGCCTGCCCTGACGGAAGCCATTCAGACCCAGAGCCACGTGTCCCGGGTCTCCCTGCCCTGGGCCACCTGCCACCACGCCCCAGGGCTTGCTTACCACTGGGAGGCGCTCTTGTCCTGGACTGGCCTGGTCCGGGTTGGGACCTCCAGCCAGGCCAGTCGGTGAACCACCAGTCCCACCAGGGTGGAATGACAGTCAGGACTCAGCTGGCAGTGGGCAGGAGGCCAGTCTTGTGATGATGTCGCAGCCACAACTCTCTTCCTGCCCCTCCCTTGTCCTGATGGGAGCCCCCAGCTCTGTAGCTGAGTCAGGCCTGGGGGCCATGCGGGGTCCTGGGTTTAGGCACCCCACCCCTATCTGTTCCAACAGACCCTCCCTCTCAACCTAGGGCACAGATGGCATCTGAGCCAGAGCACACCGCTGCTCCGGGCAGGGGCTCATGGGAGGCCTGGGTGGAGGAGTGGGTTCTCAGGGCTACCTTGGCCCCCCTGCACTTTTGCCCTCTTTCCCCCGCCTCTCCGGTGCCTCCCGGCTCCCTGGGACTCACTCCCTCACCTTGGCCTCTGCCTGGGACGCTGCCCGGCCACCCCCACCAGCCCTGACACCGGTGCTGCCCACTAGCCGCTGCTGCTACATAGGCATGCGCCTCCCCCAGTCTGGGCTCCTTGACCCCCGGGCATTGGGAAGGGGGAACAAGGAAGCAGTCCATGCCAGCCCACTCCCAGGGCCCATGAGCCCCCAGCAAGGGATGGGCCACAGAATCCAGGAAGAAGACAGGCTCCAGCCCCCAGTGGTCGCCAGCAGCTGCCTAGAAGCTCACCACCCCACCCCATCCCACTCACTCCTGCTCTCACGTACATTTCCCAGCTCCCCACCCCGGCCCACCTTCAGAACAGCGGCAGCGCTCACCCACCACGCCTGCCAGTGAAGCTCAGTCCCAACAGAATCCAGACAGGGCCCACCGCATGTGCCTGCCTGTGACGGCCTGTGACACGGCCCCAGCCAGGGCCGACGAGCTGGAGGGGCCCAAGGAGCTGGGTGCAGCACTGGGGTAACAGGACAGCCCCATGGGGTGCTCCCGAGTCTGGACCAGACTCGGTGGGGGTCAGACTCTGGGTGGGGGAATTGCTGGGAGAAGGTGGGGCCTCTGGCAAGGGATAGGGCCTGTGCTCAAGCCCAAAGGTGCCCCAGGCTGAAACGGGTGCCCAGGGGTCACTATCATAGCCCCAACAGCCGGCCATGGGGGAAGCCGTGCTCAGCACACCTGGCCCTCGGGACCCTGCAGAGCAGATCAAGTTTCTCTACCTTGGCCTGAGCTTCTCATCAACACTTCACTTGCTGGGCTTCTCAGGGTGGAAGTGGGGCTTTGTGTCCCCTTCTGGGGTGGCAGGGCTCGGAAAGGGAATGATGGTAGGGGCTGCGAGATGTGGGTCCTGGCCCCCAGTGGGAAGAGACCAGAGGCCTCGGAGGCGGGCATGGCTGAGAAACACAGCCTCTGCCCTATCAGGGCCGTTGGGTCGGTGCGCCCTGCCAGCAGGAGGAGGGTGGGCAAGGTCCCTGCCAGCTCTGTCTCTGGGACCAGTGGGCAGGGGCCTCTGCCTCACCCCACACTGCCTCAGCCGGGGCAGCAGGCCCAGGCCTCTTGCATAAGCGCCCCGTGGGGGACGAGGCTGCAGCTGTGCCCGGCCACCCCATCCCCCAGCATCACGAGTCTTCAGTGGGCTGTCCTCGGGCCCTGGGTGGAGGCCAAGCCTGGCCCATAAATAGGGGTCTCCTCAGTGCCCTCCGCTCCTCCTGCACACCTTCCGCACACCTCCCTCGCTCTCCCACACCACTGGCACCAGGCCCCGGACACCTGCTCGGCTGCAGGAGAATGGCTACTCATCACACGCTGTGGATGGGACTGGTCCTGCTGGGGCTGCTGGGCGGCCTACAGGCAGCACCCGAGGCCCAGGTCTCCGTGCAGCCCAACTTCCAGCCGGACAAGGTGAGGGGCTTCCCTGAGCCATCCCCAAGTGCTACAGGGCCCTGTCAGGGGAAGGGTACTTTCCGGCTGGGTCTTCTCCCCGGGAGGAGCGAGTGAAGTCCCGCAGTGCCGGGCAGTGCCGGCCAGGGACTGAACGGGCGCGCAGGAAGGAGACTGGGTAGCTGCCCCAGGAGGCTGACCGCGAGAGGCCCTCCCTGGGCACCACGTCCCGTCTCCCTTGATGGGCCACGCAGACACAGGGCCATACACGCTCCCACGCCATCCAAACACGGCCACTCCTACGGGCACGCGACCCCCAGAGGACACACGAACGCACGTTCCACACCTGGGTGCCAGGACACGGGCGGGTGGGGCACGAGGATGGCGCCAAAAACGCCGTGCGCGGTGGGGGGTCGGGGGGACGCGCACCGCACAGCCAGCCAGCGACGCGCGCTCTCGCCCGGGAGCTGCGCGGGGACGCGCCAGAGCTCGGGTTCCCCGGCCGCGCGCCCCTCCCCGACGTCGAGGAGACTCCCAGCGGTCCGCGGAGCGGAGCGGAAGACCCGCCCCCCCCGTCAGGAATGCGACGTCCTCAGCCGCCCGCTGTATGGGCCGAGCGCTCCGCCAGGGGCACAGAATCGGGACCGGGGGCGGAGGGGCCCGAGCTGGCTGGTGGGCGGCGTGTGAGGGTGAGGGACGGTCCTCGGGAGGGGCGTGGCCAGACGGCGTGCTCGGTGCCAGGGGCGTGGCCAGCTTCTGGGGCGGAGGCGTGAGGGGCGGGGCCACCTCCTGGAGCGGTACGAGGGGCGTGAGGGGCGTGGTCAGCTCCCGGGGCGGGGACGTGAAGGGCGGGGCCAGCCTGTGAGGCGGGGTCGTGAGGGGCCCGAGGGGCGAGGTCAGCCCCTGGGGCGGGGGCGTGAGGGGCGGGGTCAGCTCCTGGGGCGGGGCCAGTTCCTGGGGCGGGGCGTGATTGAGCGTGGGGGCGGGGCGGGGTTGGAGACTGGAGCGGGAGGGGCAGAGGCGCCTCCACGGGTCGGCAACAGTGGGTCCGGAGGGTCCTGGCCGACGCGGTTGGGGGTCGCTCGCCGCAGTTCCTGGGGCGCTGGTTCAGCGCGGGCCTCGCCTCCAACTCGAGCTGGCTCCAGGAGAAGAAGGCAGCGCTGTCCATGTGCAAGTCGGTGGTGGCCCCTGCGGCGGATGGTGGCTTCAACCTGACCTCCACCTTCCTCAGGTGGGACAGCGGGCAGGTGGGCTGCTGGGACGGAGAGGTCCAGGAGCACCCTCGGGCCTAACCCCTGACCCCGAGGTCACCCACCTACAGGAAAAACCAGTGTGAGACCCGAACCATGCTGCTGCAGCCCGGGGAGTCCCTCGGCTCCTACAGCTACCGGAGTCCCCGTGAGTGGGGCCTCCACCAGCTCCTGAGCCCAGCCTGGGGGCGACACATGCAGGCGACTCTGGGCCAGCCCCCTGCCGCGGAGATCCATGGGGTGGGGGGTGATGGCTGCCCCACCAGCGTCAGAGGCCAAGGCCAGGCCTGGGCATGACTGCCCATGCACAAGTGTTGGGGACAGAGAGACCCTTCCTCCAGGGGTTTGGATCCTCTCTGGAGCCCACCAGTGTCTTGCCAGGCCCCTCCCCTGCCCTCTGGAGCTTTCCCCACGTAAGCAGCCCCCCAAGGCCCCTCCACATGCCTCCTCCTAGTTCTCCTCCCCAGGACCCAGGGGCTTCCTCACTCCCACCTGGGGAATGGTTCCCACAGGGAAACCTCTTCACTTCGGGTTCTGGCAGCGGGTTCTGCGGCTGCACCAGGAATCCTGGTTTTCTGAGCCTGGCTGCCCCAGATTCTGGTTTAGGGACAGAGTTCACAGGCTGTGCAGGTGGGAGCAGGGCACTGACTGGAGAGCAGCCGGGTAGGGGAGCATCCCGGGCCAGCTGAGGGCCTGAGTGCCCCCACAGCCCACAGGTGCACCCCTTCCCTGAAGGAGAGATGAGGTTTGTGGGGCTGAGTCCCCAACAGGGTCGTTTCTTGGGTTCCCAGACTGGGGCAGCACCTACTCTGTGTCAGTGGTGGAGACTGACTACGACCACTACGCCCTGCTGTACAGCCAGGGCAGCAAGGGCCCCGGCGAGGACTTCCGCATGGCCACCCTCTACAGTACGTGCCCGCCGCTGCCGCCCGCACACAGGCATGACCAGAGGGGGCTCCCCAAGACCCAGGGCAGGGCACACACCATCCCCCCGCTGAGGCCAGCTCTGTCTCCACCCTGTCCCAGGCCGAACCCAGACCCCCAGGGCTGAGTTAAAGGAGAAATTTACCGCCTTCTGCAAGGCCCAGGGCTTCACAGAGGATTCCATTGTCTTCCTGCCCCAAACCGGTAAGGGGTCCTAATCTGATGGGTAGAGGATTAAGGTCAGATTAGAGGCAGGCAGGCAGTCTCCTGACAGGGAGAGGCAGAGGGGAGGAGGGGGCCCCGCCCTGCTCGAGGCCTGGGCCAGGGACAGGGGGGGTGAGTGTTCGAGTCAGAACCTCCCTCCTGCAGCCTCTTCATGAGGAGCCCCCTCCATGGGGGGCATGGAGACCAGGCGCCCACTCTGTGCCAGGCCCTAGCAGCTCCCAGAATGTGGGGCTCCAGCCTGGTGGGGAGCATAGGGTAGACGGTGCCTATGGGGGATACAGGAGGACCAACCATACTGCACTCAGGCACAGCCTCCTGGGGCGGACAGCCTGCTCCCGGCAGAGGTGAAGAAAGACCCTCTCTTTGTTTTGAGGGGCCAGGGGAGAGGTGGGAGGTGATGGGGGGGTCTGTGCAGTTTGGGGGCTCAGTCAAGACGAGCTCTGTATTAGGAGAGGGACAGGAAGCCCGGTGGGAAAATTGGCCTAAGTCTGGGATTCTGACGACAGCCCCGGCTTCTTTCTTGGCAGATAAGTGCATGACGGAACAATAGGTGAGCCACTTCATTCATTCATTCATTCATTCATTCATTCATTCAACACACATCCACCCAACCCACTCTGCGATGGATCAGGGCCCCAGGACAGCCTGGTGCTGCAGACCCATCCTTCCTGTATGGCTGCCGTCGTCCAGGGCTGGGCAGGAGACTGGGCAGGGGCTGCCCACACTGACGAGTGTACAGGTGCAAGGCTCGGAAGGAAAACCTGTCCCAGCGGCTGGAATAGGGCTGACCCCTGAAGGCTCACGGTTGGGGGGTGCAGGTGTGAGGCCCCAGGCAGAAAAGGCCAAGGGGCTATACCACAGGGGCCATCTGGCAGCAAGGGCATCTGGCACCTGGGATAGGGGTAAACCAGGGTGGGGGAGATGGGATGGGAGGGGACTGGGGATGAAAGGGGAAGTCCGAAGACGCTGCATGGATGCCGTGGGAGAGCTCAGGGGAGCAGGCTCAGGGCGGATTCACCCACCACCCCCAGGAGGGAGGCATAGGCTGGAGCTGGAGTCCGTGGATCCTGGGGCTGGGAAGGGTGGAGTCCGTGGATCCTGGGGCTGGGAAGGGTGGAGTCTGTAGACCCTGGGGCAGCGGGGATCCGAGCCCCAGCAGTGGATCTTGCTCTCTCAGCGAGGCTCAGCGGGGCTGGGGACAGAGAAAAGTCCCCCTACCCTGCACCTGCTCCATCCGACTGGAGTGGGGGTGGGCTGGGGAAGACTGCAGTCCTCCATCCTCGGCTTTCGGTTGCACCCCCCAGGACTCCCCAGAGCTGAAGCTGGGACCGCAGCCAGCCAGGTGACCCCTGCGATCTGGATGTTTCCGCTCTGTTCCTTCCCCGAGCCCCTGCCCCGGCTCCCCGCCAAAGCACCCCTGCCCCCTCGGGCTTCCTCCTGGCTCTGCGGAATAAACTCCGGAAGCAAGTCTGTAGGTTGGCTCCTGGCTGTCTGTGCCGTCGTCACCAGTCCCGGGCCTGGCCCTGGCCACCTGGACCTCCTGCTCTATAAAACCTCAGCCTGAGGTCAACAGAGAAACAGACCCTCTAGTGTTTGCTCCCAGTGGGGTCTTGAGTCAGGACAGCTAGGAGGGGGTGTCCCTCACTGTCTCCCACCCAGCCCAGTCGTGTGACCCTGCCCCACAGCCCCACACGTCCAGCCATACCCCCTCAGCTGCCACTGCCACCAGGCCGGTGCTGAGGTGGGGGGGGGTCAGTGACTCATCTAAATCCCTTAGGCAGGTACCCTGCATCCCCAACCCCACCCTGTCACCCCCTCAGCAGGAAAGGCCTGAGGCTCAAGGCCCCAGAGGAGCTTTGGACCTGTTGGGTGTCTTGAGGTGTGGGATTAACACACTGAGATTGGACGGAGATAAGGGTTTCAAGGGACAAAAAAGGAACATTTGTTGGAAACATGCCAGAGCGTCTCCACCCTCCATCAGGACAGACTGACAGAGTGGGCTGGGGACAGGACACCCCACATCCCTTCTGGTTCCCTGGGCACCCCCTGCCCTTTGACCTGGGCCACCAGATCACAGCCTTGTCCACTCGCCAGAGCCCTGGCACCACGGGCACACCATGCCCCACCGGTGCCCTGCCCAACCCTGCTCCCTCCCAGATTCCCACCCAGGCAGCCTTTCTCAGGTACACAATGTGCAAGACTCACTGTGACCTGCCCACCAGGCCCCCCTGAGCAGGCCCTGCAGAGGCGCCAACCTTTCTGAGGGTCAGAGGTGAGGGTGAGCTTCTGGGTGGCCTTCCCGGAGGAGAAGGGGGCTTAGGGCTGTGCCTGAGCTCAAGGTAGTGGGGATCCAACATCCCAGAGGGGCTGCAGAAGGCCAGAGAGGCAGGATGGGGTGAGCTGCAGGCCCCCTAGCCCAGAGGCCCATCAGAACTACCCTCAGCTGCCAGGCATCCGGCCCCACCCCGGAGGAAAGGCAAGGCATGGCTGGGGTTGGGTGGAGGGAGCCAGGCCAGAGCACTGCAGCGTGCAACTCGATCAGAAGCCTGTCACAGTGGGTGCAGTCCCAGGCCAGCGGCCCCCCCGGACACCTTGGGGGCATAAAGCCTACAGAGGAGCCACCTCAGCTCTGTCCTGCTCTTGTGTCCCAAGGAGACGCCATGCCACCTTGCTGCACGATGCTTTGGGCTCTGCTGATCAATTCCCTCCTTGCCCTGCTCTGGGTGTCCCCAGGCCAGGCCCAGGTCCCCATCCAGGCCAACTTTGATGCTAGCCAGGTGCGCCCAGCCCTGTTTCCTCCTCCTCTCCAATGAGTCCTCCCAGCTTTGGCACTGCACCCCAGGTCCCTGTCCACACTCTCTTTGATCCAGGCTCAGCAGGGCTGGGGGCATGGGAAACCCCCCACCACACCTGTTCCATCTGACTGGCGTAGGCGTTGGCTGGGGAAGACTGCAGGCCTCCATCCTAGCTTTTCGGTTGCATCCCCCATCACTCCCCAGGGCCCAAAATTGGGACAAGTTACAGCTGCCTGCCCCTCACTGTCCCCCACCCACCCCACATAGACCTGTGACCTTGCCACAGCCCCACCCATCCAGCCGTACCCCCTGGGTGCCAGCTGCAGACAGGCCGGTGCTGGGCTGGTGGAGGCCAGTTGCTCATCTGCTGAGGCCCCCCTCCCTCAGTTCTGCATCAGGGTGGAGGTGTGTACAGCAGCCCCTGTCCTGGCCAGGAAGCAGCTGTGTCAGGACAGAACGTGGTGGGCTCAGGCCCAGGGCACAGGAGCGGCCTTCCAGCCTTCCCTGCACTTGCCCTGCAGTTCCAGGGCACCTGGTACATGGTCGGGGTGGTGTCAGATGACCAGGACTTCCTGGACTCCAAGGACACCATGAAGATGCCTGTGGTCTTAGTGACCCCCTTGGAGAACAGTGACCTGGCCCTCAAGTTTGGATATCCCATGTAAGTGACCCCACAAGCCCGTCAGACTCAGCCTCAGATGAGGCCAGATGAAGGTCCAGAGGGACCACGGTGTCCCCAGCACATCGGGGTCAGACCACGGGTCCTTAAGGGCTCCGTGCTGCAGAGCTCCAGATGGCAGCCACACGGTGTCCAGAGGGACCCAGGCCCTGGAGGAAGCACCGCCTGAGGCCCAGTGTTGAGAAAAGTGTCTGCATGTCTGTGTGTGTGTATTACTGTATGTGGCTGTGTCTGTGTGTGTGTCTATTTCTGCATGTGTGTGTGTGTCTGTGTGTGTGTGTGTCTTCTGTGTAGCTGTGTACCTCTGTGTGTGCGTCTCTGTGTGTGTATCGCTGTATGCATCTATGTGTCTGTGTATCTGTTTCTGAGTGTCTGTGTGTATCTGTGTGTGTGTCTTTTATGTGTGTGTGTATATATGTGTGTGTCTGTCAGTGTATCTGTGTCTGTGTATCTGTGTGTGTGCATGTGTGTTTGTGTGCGTCTTCTGTGTGTCTGTGTCTGGAAGGGGGACCTGGAGACCCTGCATTCTAGACTGTGTGCCCATGAGCAGGTACTTAATCCCCCACCCCCAGCAGGAGTGTCCCCACCTCTAAAGTCATTCTAAAGTCCCATGTTCTCTAAGGATTGTGAGGGTGAACAAGGGACCCAGGGCTCGGGGGAGGGTGAGACGTTGCCCAGGGCAGTGTTCCCAGGAGGAGATCGCGTTGGGGCAGGTCGGGGGCCTCCGTCCCAAGGAAGGGGGCACCAGGGGGGCGCCTCGGGCCCACTTTCTCTGCAGACCAGTGTGCGGGCGCGCTCTCCCGGGTGAATAGACCACGGTCACGTGGAGCCGCGGACCATGGGCCCTCCTAGGGGCCTCTATCTTCGGGACAGCTGGGGGCCGAGAGCGGGGGTGATGGGGCATCCGGGCGGATCCAAGCGGCAGCAGCCTGGGCAACCGCGGGGCTGCGCGTCGGGAGGGGCGGAGGCAGGGGACGCCCCTCACCTGCTCCTTGTTTTGCGGTGAGGGGTCCAGCCCCTGAGTGCCTGCAGGGGTCAGCTGCTCCGTGCGCCCAGCCCTCCCCAAAGAGCCCCTCTCTCCACACCCTGGCACCAAGCGCAATAAATGCCCTGAGTGCCTGTGGCGCTGTGCATTTATTGGAGGGAGGGAGGGGTGGCGGGGGCGGCCAGGTACATGGGCGCCCTGGGAAAGGGGCCGGGTCACCCCTTGTTGCCTGTCTGGGCAGGCGTTGGCCCAAGAGGGACCGAGCCTCAGCTCCGTGGCAGGGAGGTTCCTCAGGGCGGGCCCCAGCCCCAGCTCTGGGACTTTTCTACCTCTGCACGGACCCAGACCCCCAGACCGGGGCGCTGGGAGGGCGGGACATGGACACCACGCAGCGGGCGCCCCAGGCTCCCGTGGCCTTCAGGGTCCTCCCAAGCGGCTGGCCCGGTCAGTGTCGGCGGCTTCCATCCCCAGGCGGCCCGCCAGGTCACCCAGTTCCCTGGCCCCTGACTCCAGGCTCCAGGTCCCGCCCCACAGGCCTGGCTGTTCCAGAGACCAACGAAGCACCCCCAGCCCTGACCCAGGGCCTGCCCATGGAGAGTGGAGGGCGAGGAGGACAGGAGGCGCTGCATAAAACTCTGCCCTGCCTTGAGTCTATGTAGGACAGTGTTGTCTTTTACAGATAAGTCTAGAAGAATTTGAAGGAAAATAGCCTACTCGCTGTAATGTACCTAGTTCAGCAAAATAATAATAAAAATAGTAATAATACTGGTTGCAAATTTGTCAACATTTTGATAGTTGTTTAATCTGGGTGATGGGTCTACGGGGCGCAGTATGCTATGATTTCTGCTTCTCAGTTGGTCAGAATTTTTTTTTTTTTTTTTTTTGAGATGGAGTCTTGCTCTGTCTCCCAAGCTGGAGTGCAGTGGTGCGATCTCGGCTCACTGCAACCTCCACCTTCCAGGTTCAAGTGATTCTCCTGTCTCAGCCTCCCAAGTAGGTGGGATTACAGGTGACCACCACCATGCCCAGCTATAATTTTTGTATTCTTAGTAGAGACGGGGTTTTGCCATGTTGGCCAGGCTGGTCTCAAACTCCTGACCTCAAGTGATCCACTCACCTTGGCTTCCCAAAGTGCTGGGATTACAAGCGTGAGCCACCAGGCCCAGCTCAGAAAATTTTTTATTAAAAAACACCACTTGGGCTGGGCGCAGTGGCTCACGCCTGTAATCCCAGCACTTTGGGAGACTGAGGCAGGAAGATCATGAAGTCAGGAGATCAAGACCATCCTGACACAATGAAACCCCATCTCTGCTAAAAATACAAAAAACTAGCCGGGCGCGGTGGCGGGCGCCTGTAGTCTCAGCTACTCGGGAGGCTGGGGCAGGAGAATGGCGTGAACCCGGGAGGTAGAGCTTGCAGTGAGCCGAGGTCACGCCACTGCACTCCAGCCTGGGCGACAGAGCGAGACTCCGTCTCAAAAACAAAAACAAACACAAACAAACAAACAAAAACAGAAAACACCATTCGGCCGAGCACAGTGGCTCTGCATCCTCCCTGCATCCCCAGGAAGATTCCGAGCCGGGCAATGCAGGTTGCTCTCCACAGCCTCAGGGATGCCCTTTCCTTCCTTCCACGGTGGGGCAGCCTCTGGGGGTGGCTGTGGGTCCAGTTGTGGTCAGCCCACAATGCCTTGCAGTTCAGCCCTGGATGCATCGAGTCCCTCGCCTCCCACGCTTAGCCTGTTCTCCACCCAGAAGCCCAGGGGATGGATTCACAAGATGGGTCAGATCAGGCCCCGCTGCTCGACACCCCACAGTGGGTCCCATCGCACTGAGTAAAGGCCTAAGTCTTGATGGTGGCCAGCAAGGTCTTTTCTTTTAGGCTTTCCTCTGACCCACCATCCACACCTCTCCCTCCACCCTGCTGCCAGCACCTTACGTGTCTCAGGGCCTTTGCCCAGGTCACCCCTGCCCAGACCGCCCTTCTCCCGGAGCCACTCAGCCCACTCACTTCCGTCTCTGAAGTCTTGCTCAAATACCTCCCTTGGTTCTTGACCTCTGCTACCCCAAACCTTGACTGGCCCCCACTCCCCTAGTCGTTCTCTGTACTTTTTGCTCCTCTTTTCGGCCCAGCTTCCAGGTGCTCTATGCCTTGGGTGCCAGGTCAGCTCTTTCCCTCCGCTGTTCTGCTTCCGTCACCAACTCCAAGTGTGTGTGTGCGGACTTCGTAGTCCCTCGCCTTCTGTTTGCAAAGCTCCACTAACCTTGTATCTCATACCCTGTATTAATGTATCCTGCGTTAAAGAAAATTGCTCCCACGGCCGGGTGCAGTGGCTCACGCCTGTAATCCCAGCACTTTGGGAGACCAAGGCGGGCGGATCACCTCAGGTCGGGAGTTCAAGACCAGCCTGCCCAATATGGAGAAACCACGTCTCTACTACAAAATACAAAAAATAGCCAGGTGTGGTGGTGGGCATCTGTAGTCCCAGATACTTACTCAGGAGGCTGAGACAGGAGAATCGTTTGAACCCGGGAGACAGAGGTTGTGGTGAGCTAAGATAGCACCACTGCACTCTAGCCTGGGCAACAAGAGCAAAACTCCATCTCAAAAAAAAAAAAAAAAAAAAGTATTGCAGAGAAGGACGTGGAAGCCAATGCAAAAGCTGCCAGTAGCTGAAGCTGGCCCGATGTGAGCCACGAAACAGGACATGACACTAGGGTGTGAGCCAAAGCGTAAAATAAACACCTGAGGTCCACACAGACCCGGCCTGAGGCTAGTGAAATGAAGGTTTTGCAGTTTTCTTGTCATGTTTTGTAACTAATCTTTGTTTCTGGTCTTGTGTTAGTTCCTACGGCTGCCACAAATTATCACAAACTTGTAGCTTGAAGCCAGAGTCCAAAATCAGTTTACTAGGGTCAAGGTATCAACCGGGCTGTGCTCCCTCTGAGGGCTCAAGGAGAGAATCCCTCCTTGCCTCTTCTAGCTTCTTTGTCTTCTCTTTTGTTGTTGTTGTGGTTGTTGTTGAGACAGGGGCTTGCTCTGATGTCCAGGCCAGAGTACTATGGCACAATCATCTCACTGAAGCCTTGAACTCCTGGGCTCAAGCAGTCCTCCTGCCTCAGCCTCCTAAGTAGCTGGGACTACAGGCATGCATTACTATGCCTGGCTAATGTTTTCTTTTTAGAGATGGGTCTTGCTGTCTTGCCCAGGCTGGCCTTGAACTCCTGGCCTTAAGCAATCCTCTCACTCCAACCTCCCAAAGCACTGGGATTACAGGCATGAGCCACCAGGCCTGGCCTCTTCTGGCTTCTGATAGCAGCCTGTAATCCTTGGCTTGTGGCTGCATTGCTCCAGTTCCTCCCTCCATGCCACACTGCCTTCTTTTCTGTCTCAAGGCTTCCTCTGCCTCAATTTTATAAGGCCCTTGAGATGGCACTGAGGGCCTCCCTGGGTAATCCAGGATAATCGCCCCATCTCAAGGGCATATCTGCAAAGACCCCTTTCTTTTCTTTCCTTTTTTTTTGGCGGGGGAGGGGGACAGGATCTCACTCTGTTGCCCAGGCTGGAATGCAGTGCCCAGCCTTTTCCATAAATAATAGTATTCACAGGTCCCAAGGATTAAGGCCTGATACCTGGGGCCTACTACAGCCAGCATCTCAGAGTTTACATGACAAAGTAGAGGCCCCCCAATCTTCTCCGAATCTGCCCCACCCCAGTCATCTTGGGGATGAATCTCCCCGTTCCTCTCTTCCCAAATGCTGGGGCCATCCTTGATCGTTCTTTGCCTCTTCCTCTCTCCACCTCCACTCCGAGCTCATGGTCCACCCCTCTCCCCCACCTCTGCAGCCTCCCGTCCTCTCTCCTCACAGCACAGAATACGGACTTCACACACATAAGTCAGTCGTGCCACTTCCCATCCACCCCTGCTTAAACCTCCAACAGCCGCCACTCCCCCTTCATTCATTCATTCACAATGTTTATTCAGTGTCTGTACGTGCCAGGCATTGTGTAAGTGCTGAAAAGACAGATACACTGGCAGTAAAACAGACAGAAATCCCTGTCCTCATGGACTTTCTGGGGTGATGGACAATAGGCAGGATAAATAAGTGTACTGGTCACTTACTGCAGAGTGACAGGTTACCCCAAATGCAGCAGCTTAACCCAGCAGGAGTGCATTATCTCCCAGTGTCAGCAGGGCAGGACTCTGGGCCTCTGGTACAAAGTTTCAGTAGGCTGTGGTCAAGCTGCCGGCTGAGGATGTGGTCTCATAGTAAGGCTCAGCTGGGGCGTCAGCTTCCCAGCTCCCTTGCTGGCCATCGGCATCCCCTTAGGGCTGCCTCTTGTCACACCCAGCAATTCAAGAGCAATTTTGTCCTATTCTGGTTGCCAGAAGCAAGTTGTTAATTAAGTCCAGCCCAAGGGGAGGGGAGTGCAGAAAGGTCTAAACCCAGGAGGGTATAACAGGGGGCTAACTGCCAGAATAAAGCAAGCCAAAGTGTACTTTCTACAGTGAGAAGGGTGAAAAATAAGAAAACGACAGGAGAGCGGGACGTGAGAGCTGGGCAGCGTGCTGAAATGTCAGAACAACACCAGGGAAGGTGTCGCTGAAGTGACTTTTGAGTAAAGACCCCAAGGAAGCATGTGAATCTGGGAAAAGGGTGTGCCAGGCAGAAACAGCAGCATGTGCAGAGACCCAGGGTGCAGGAGCCAGGACTGGGAGTGAACTGGGAGGCAGGAGGAGGTGAGGCAGGCTTGCTGTGGGAGCACTCCCATACAGAAGCATAGCCTACAACCCCACTGACCCTCCCCACAGCACCATGCTGCCAACCTGGCCTTCTTGCCAAGCCTTGAACAGAACTGTTGTTTCTGTGGCCAGGCCTCTGCGTGGGATCTCCCTGTCCCTGGTGGGAGCCATCCTCTTCCTCCTGTCCTCATAGCACCCGCTGCAGTTTCTCCTGGCACTTGGCCCTGCCTGAGAGTGTGGTGTCTCTCCTATTGGATCCTACAAGCTCCAGGGAGTCAGAGACCTTGTCTGTTGATTGATGTCCAGGCCTAGGACAACAGGCACGTAGGAGGAGCTGGAGTAATACCATGGGCAGGACAGAGAGCACAGAAGTCTTCTTCCCTGGGGATTGCTCTGTACTGTGACTTCTTTTTTCGTTTGTTTTAGACGGAGTCTCACTCTGTTACCCAGACTGGAGTGCAGTGGCGTGATCTCGGCTCACTGCAACCTCCACTTCCCTGGTTCAAGCAATTCCTCTGCCTCACAGGCGTGCACCACCACACCCGGCTAATTTTTATGTGTTTTTAGTAGAGAGCGGGTTTCACCATGTTGGCCAGACTGGTCTCGAACTCCTGAACTCTGGCAATCTGCTCGCCTTGGCCTCCCAAAGTGCTGGGATTACAGGCGTGAGTCACCTTGCCGGGCCAACCATAACTTCTCACAATTAGGGTTAGGAAGCTTCCCGTTGGTGTGTGAAGACGATGGGAGGGCGGGGCTCCAGGATGTGCCCACAGCGCCACGGAGGGAACCCGGACTCGGGTGGACGTGGAGCCAGGGCGGGGGCGGGAGGGGGCGAGGTTCGAGTGGGGCTGCTCGCGGGCGCGAGGGCCAGAGCCCAGGATCCCGCCGCGAAACCCATGCCCGGCGAGGTCAGCGCTAGGGGCAGGGCCTCTGGATCCCTGACCGAGGACGCCCTGCTCCGGCCCGCCCCACGCACTAAACCCGGCCTCTAGTAGCCTGAAGCCCGCGCGGGTACCGGGTCTTCCGGGCCCGGCCTGTGCCTTTAGCTCCGCCCCTAACCCAACCCCCTAACCCCGCCTCCACCTAAAGACCCCGCCCCCAGTCAGACTCCGCCCCGCGCAAGCTCCCTAAGCCCGCGACTGGCCTGCACCCGGCTCCGGAAGCCGTTCTTCCGCGCAGGAGCCCTGGGCCCGCAGAGCCCCGCCCTTCCCGGCGCCCTAGCCCTGCCCCGCCGGGTTCCCGCTCGCCGGGCGCCATGGATCCGCTGTCGCCGCCGCTCTGCACGCTGCCGCCGGGCCCCGAGCCGCCCTGCTTCGTGTGCTACTGCGAAGGGGAGGGAAGCGGGGAGGGGGACCGCGGCGGCTTCAACCTCTAGTGAGTGGGGTTCCGCGGGGAGGTAGGGGTGCGGGGAGCTCCGCGGGCGGCCCCGCCTGACAGGCCCTCTCCCCCAGCGTGACCGACGCCGCGGAGCTTTGGAGCACCTGCTTCACGCCGGACAGCCTGGCGGCCCTCGTGGGTAACTGGGCGGGTCTGGGAGCCGCCACACCCCTCCCTGCAGTCCAGATCGTGTATGGGGCGACCGACATCTGGGATTCCCCAGAAGGCTCTGACACCCTCTGCCCGCCCTGTAGCTGTAGTCCTCACATTGGCTAGGGGTCCCAAGTGGCTCTGGGGTCGGGCAGGTTTCGGGTGCTCCCAGTGGATCTCGGGTTCCAGGCAGCTGGTGACAAGCACCTGTGCTCTCTAGAAAGCCCGTTTTGGTCTGAGTGCGGCTGAGGACATCACCCCCCGGTTCAGGTGAGACCCAAGCAGGGAGAAAGGTGGGTGGGGAGGAGGAGGGTCTGTCACAGCTCTCAGCACCTCTCCTCTTCCAGGGCAGCCTGTGAGCAGCAAGCTGTGGCTGTGACCCTGCAGGAGGACAGAGCGTCCCTGACCCTTTCAGGGGGCCCCTCGGCACTGGCCTTTGACCTCTCCAAGGTACCAGGCCCAGAGGCAGCCTCCAGACTGCAGGCGCTGACACTGGGCCTGGCAAAACGCGTGTGGAGCCTGGAGCGGCGACTGGCAGGTAGTATTGGGGGTGGGCACCTCATACCTTCACTGGGGTCCCCTGCTCTTGCCCCCACTCCTGGCACTGAGTGGGGTTCCCATGGGCTTTCCTCCCCAGCTGCAGAAGAGACAGCTGCCAGCCCCAGGAAGAGTCCCCGGCCTGCAGGGCCTCAGCTCTTCTTACCAGGTAAGGCACGTATGCCTGTGACTCAAGTAGGGCTGTGTGCTTTAATCTGGAACTCAGTTTCCCCTGAATAAGCCTCATGCTCCAGAGAGAATGCCTGCCTATTCAGAGAAGGTTGTGGCTGGGATGCTGCCAGGTTCAGGAGCCTCCCCATCCTGTTTTCCCACAGACCCAGATCCCCAGAGAGGTGGCCCTGGACCTGGGGTCAGGAGGCGGTGTCCAGGAGAGTCGCTCATCAACCCTGGGTTCAAGAGGTACCCGCCCACCGGCCCCTTCCTGCACCCAGGGTCCAACCCTGGACCCCACCCCTTTCTCCACACCATAGTGCCATAGTAATACCCCTCTTCCTTCTCAGTAAGAAACCAGCTGGTGGCGTGGACTTTGATGAGATCTGAAGGTACAGCACAAGTGTGGCCCCACGGGGAGTCTGCCTGTGAGGGGACAGGCAGTCTTCGAGGCCCTCATCAGAGACCCCCCCCCCACACCACCACCTCCACCTGCCTGTCCTGGGCCAGGACTAAGGCGTCTCCTCAAGTTCCTTCCCTGTCAAATAAACCGCTCCCTCTGTTGGAGGCTCTGGTGGGGCTCTGACTCCTGGCACTGGCCTGGGAAGGGATCAGGGAATGCCCCTGGGCCTGCACTCTGGGTGTGGGACCACAGGATGTGAACAGATGCTGCAGCATCTCAGTTCCCTGGAGACTTCCTTGCTGGGCCGGAGGGAGGTGAGCACTCTCAGACCATCCAGCTATTCCATCCCTGCCAGCCCAGGAGCTGAGAGGGGCCCAGCCAGGCAGGGCCAGGGCTCCCCAAGGCTTAGAACTTTGTTCCCACCCTCCCAGGCCGCACCCAGGCAGGGCACGGAGCCCCGTAGGAGGATGCACACAGGAGAAGGCCTGTGCAGACCCTGAGATGCTGTGGAAGTGCCCTGCGGGGAGGGGAGTGCCTGCCCCCGGACAGGATTGAGGAATGTACCAGCCCCTATCCACCTGGGGCACCCCGCCCCACCCCGGCCTGACTGGTTTGGGAGCCCAATCCGGTCCTGGAGATCCCTGAGGCCACCGGTTGCAGGAGACCTGGAGTCTGCGCTTTCTTAACATGGAGGATGGGACCCGCCCGACCCCGGCTCTCCTGCCCCTGTGGTTCTGGGCTCTCAGGCTGAGCGTCCCACCCTGGGGTTTGGGGATGGGAAGTGATCACGAGACTCCTCAGATGTCAGGACACCCTCACTGCCGACAAAGATGCCTTTATTGGGCGACAGACGCGGGGTGGGGCGCTAGCGGGGGTGCACGGCGGGCCGGTAGGCCGCCAGGATCTCGGCGCTGTGCGGACACGTGTATTTGAACTCCTTCTCCTGCAGCGCGCTGTCCAGGTAGCGGCGGACGCCACGCAGCCCCGCCGGGATGGGCGCCTGGCGGAAGTGCGCGCACACCGTCTGCGGGCAGTATCGCGGGGCGCAGTCAGGACCTGCCGTCCCCCAGCGCGCCGGGCTTGCCCGCCCGCCCGCCCTCCGCGCTCACGTCGACGATGTGCAGCTTGGGCAGTAGGCTACAGTCGGCCAGCGTGAGCCGGTCGCCGTCCAGGAAGCGGCGGCGGGACTCGCGCAGCTGCGGCTCCAGCGCCAGCTCGTGCTCCAGGGGCGCGCGCAGGTAGCTGTCCAGCCTGGCGAGGGCGCGCACCAGCTGCTGGTACAGGGCTAGGGGCGGGCGGCGAGGTGAGGACCTGGCCCAGGACGCCCTCCCGCCTGGGCATCCAATCCCCTGACCCTGCTTCACCTTCGTCCTGCGCGGGCACCGGGTTCTTGATGAACGCGGAGAACTTGTGGAAAACGTCGTTGCCAGCGGTGTTGGACTCCCTGTAACGAGGCGCCAGGCTGGGGAAGCTGCGGGATGAGGGGGTGAGAGACTCCATCAGAATGGGGGCAGCCCCGTCCCGGCCCTACAGTACCCCACAGCGCCTTCCTGGGCTCTGTCCTGTGCGCGTCCTCCCTGGGCGCCCCCTCTTCCCCTCCCACCCTGCTCAGGCTCTCACTCGGGCGGCCCCAGCGTCTCTTCCAGAAAGTCCTCGATCTGCAGCGTGTCTGTCTTGGCATCGCTGTCATAAAGCAGGATGGGCAGCTGCGAGCCGGGGGCGAAGTCCTTCAGCACGTCCGGGGACCTGTGGGCAGCAGCAGGGTGGGAGGAGGCCAGCCCACCAGTGTGTGAGGCCAGGCAGGGGTCCCCAGGGTGGCGCCTCACCTGCGCGTGTCCACCGTGGTAAGGGTGAAGGGTACACCCTTGAGGAGCAGGACCATGAAGAGCCGCTGGCAGGAGGGGCAGTGACCCACACTCTCCCCATCCTCACTCGCCTGGGTGGGTGGAGTGGCGGGCGGTGGCGGGGGGGGGGAGGTCAGGGCTGGGAGCAGACCCAGGCATCCTGCCACCAGGCTGGGCGGGACCCGCCTCCCACTGCCAGCGGGACTGGAGGGATGCCAGAGCTCCAGCTTGGTCGGCGCGACTTCCAAGTGCCCAGTAAGGGCCCTTGACTTGGTCCCCAGGACATGGGGAGGGACGCAGAGCTGCTGGGAGCCTTGAAGCCTGGAGCGGGCTTGGCCGCTGGAATCTTATCAGAGCCTGGACAGGCCAGGCCCCTGGGCTCAGTCCCCAAAAGCTGGTTGCAAGGGTGGGGTAGGCCCCACAAGCTGTTTTCTGAGTGATTCACACATGAGACTGGGCGCTGTGGCCAGCAGCACACCAGCCCCCACATGCCAGTCCCCGACCTGAGAGCTGATGGGGCTGCCTGGCCCAGCACCCCCAATCCTGGAACACTGACCTCAAGCTCCACCACTGGCAGCTGGGTTGGTACCTCCCCACCAAGGGGCTCTCCTCCGGAAGACTGGGCTGGGCCCAGGAGCCAAGGCTGGGAGCAGGACCAGGGCCACTGGACCCCTCTCTGGGTGACTTTCTGGGTCCCACTTTACTCAGCCTCTGTAGGGCTGCCCGAGTCCCCTTAGCCACCCACAGGAAGGGGCTCAGACATTACTGGGGAGGCCCACCCCACAACCTGCCCCAGAAAGCAAAGCCAGAAGAGCACCCCCTCCCAGCCACCCTCCCTGCAGCTCAGTCTGCCCTGCACCTTGACAAACAGCTGGAGCTTGGTCTCCGCCATGGTGGGAGCTGCGCGGTCAGGCCCGGGTGGGGACCTGGGTCGCTCTTTAAGTCTCCCTGTGCGCCCCGCCCTCCCTGGCCAAGGGGCCCGCCCCGTGGAGCCACCTAGGCGGGCAGATGAAGCTGCCCAGCGCGCAGAACTGGCTGCCTGAGCAACACCAGCCTGGCCCTGGGGTATCTGAGCCAGAGGGTGTGACCTCAGGGTGGGGGAATGGTGTGGGGGGCTGCCTTGGACTTGAGTCTGGTGCACACAGAGATCCACCCACCCAGTGCGGAGTGTGCTGGCAGCCAGCGTGGTGGGTGGAGACCGGGGGCGGGGCACAGGGAGAACCTACAGGCCAGAAGGGTGCAGGGAGTGTCACCTGGGGAGGGGGTAGCTCTGGGTCGGGACCACGTCCACCGTGAACCTAGCTCAGAACCTGCCCTATGGCTCTGCCTTCGGCAAATACCCCTTGTCAGGGCTCCCAGCCCAGAAAACCAGTGGGTGTGGGTGAGCAGGAGAAATGGTGCCCAGCCTAGCTTCAGTTCCCCATCTGCAGCACCGGAGCATTGCAGGGGTGGTAGGCCCACCTGGGGGAGCCGCCCCTTCCCAGCTACCGAGCAGTCAGGCAGGGCCCTCCCCGCTCAGGGCGGGGCTCAAATTCCAGACCTGCCCGCAACAGGGCGGGGAGGCCAGCCTGGCTTTGGTGTTTGGCCGGCAGTGCAGGTCTCCACCCCACCTCCCATCCCTCCCACTGGCTCTCAGCACAGGTTTCTTACCCCCACCCCTTAACCTTTAAAAAGAAGCAGCAGGAGCGGGGTAGAAGCCACAGCCTGCGTGGCTGGGAGAAAGCGGCCAGGGGACGGTGCTGGTCCACAGGTGTGAGCCTGCTCTGAGCTTCCTGGTGTGATTGGAACCCACAGTTCAGTCTGGCCCTTTGGGGTCGTCAACTGCGCCTCCATCCCACCTGGGCCCTGATGCTTTGGGGGGCAGCCCCAGGGAGGTACACCGAGGGGAGACTCCACCTAGAGACCCGGGGTGCCCACAAGATTGGCCTGGCCACACCTCCCCCAGGCGGTGTGGTGCCTCACGAGCCCGGACGGGGCAGCTGAGGTGGCACTGCTCGCCTGCTCACCTTCTCCCCAGGGCCTTGGTATAGGCCCCACGCCCATCCCCGGCGGACCGAACTCCAGTGCTGCCCCAGCCAGCCCAGCCTGACACTTCTCTGGATACCACGCCAGTCAGGGCTCCTGGACACACGGAGCCTTGGAAATGCCACGTGGCTCCCCTATCCTTTGGTGTCCTGAGCCTCAGTTTCCCTCCATCCTGCCTCCACCTCGATTCCAAGACCTAATATTTTGGCTTTCTCGTACTGTGGTTATAGCTCCGTTCGCTGGTTTCCCACATCCCTGGCAGGCACATGGCCAACCACAGAGGAGCCCCAGGCCCCCAGCCCAGCTCTGCTGCCCGGGCATCCCGTGTCTTCAACACTGACAGACGCACCCTCACAAACCCACAGGAGAAACGACGGCGCGGACAGAGGCTGTGAACCGGTGGCTCAGAAGGAAAAAGAAAATGCCAAGATACAGGAAGACCGTTCACCTCATGCCCGTCTCAAGAAACAAACCAAACAAGACTCGGTTCATCGCCACAGCGGCCCCACTGCGTTCTGTGGGTGTGGGCTGTGGACTGTGGAGCAGCGGTGGCCGTCCTACACTCCCCTGTGCCCTTGCCCACCTGGGAATCAGCCCAGTGGCTTCTTTATTTTTTGGTTTAATCAATTCATTTATTTACTAGAAACAGGATCCTGCCATGTTGCCCAGGCTGGTCTCTACCTCTTGGGCTCAAGAGACCCGCCTGCCTTGGCCTCCCACAGTGCTGAAGCTACAGGCACGAACCACCACGCCTGGTTGGTTTCTCTGTGAAGGGCAAGTGAGTGCTGGCTGCCCCACTGTGTGGCATGGCTCCGTGGCACGGCCACCGCCGTCTATGGGAGACTGCAGTTGTGTCCAGGGAGAAGGACGGAAAAGGTGACTCCATGCGTGCCCACTGCAGGGAGGGCCTGAGATTAGGTAGATGGCCTGGCTTGTGTCCCCTTACATTTAAATTCTTAGGCTGGCTGGGCACGGTGGCTCAAGCCTGTAATCCCAGCACTTTGGGAGGCTGAGACGGGCGGATCATGAGGTCAGGGGATCGAGACCATCCTGGCTAACCCGGTGAAACCCCGTCTCTACTAAAAAATACAAAAAACTAGCCGGGCGAGGTGGTGGGCACCTGTAGTCCCAGCTATTCGGGAGGCTGAGGCAGGAGAATGGCGTGAACCTGGGGAGGCGGAGCTTGCAGTGAGCTGAGATCTGGCCACTGCACTCCAGCCTGGGTGACAGAGCGAGACTCCGTCTCAAAAATAAATAAATAAATAAATAAATAAATAAATAAATAAATAAATTCTTAGGCTGGAGTCCTAACCCCTAGTGCCTCAGAATGTGATTTTATGTGGGCCAGGCACGGTGACTTATGCCTATAATCCCAGCACTTTAGGAGACCGAGGGCGAGAGTGGATCACCTGAGGTCAGGAGTTCGAGACCGGCCTGACCAACATGATGAAACCCGTCTCTACTAAAAGTACAAAAATTAGCATGGCATAGTGGCAGGCACCTGTAATCCCAGCTACTTGGGAGGCTGAGACAGGAGAATTGTTTGAACCTGGGAGACGGAGTTGCAGTGAGCAGAGATAGTGCCACCGCACTCCAGCCTGGGCACCACAGCAAGACACCGTCTTGGAAAAATAAATAAATAAAGAATGTGACCTTATGTGGAAACAGGGTCTTTTAAAAATTTTTTTGAGACAGAGTCTCACTCTGTTGCCCAGGCTGGAGTGCAGTGGTGCAATCTCGGCTCACTGCAACTTCTGCCTCCTGGGTTCAAGCAATTCTCCTTCCTCAGACTCTGGAGTAGCTGGGATGAGAGATGCACATCACCACGCCTAGCTTCTTTTTTTCTTATATTTTTAGTAGAGACAGGATTTCGCCATGTTGGTCAGGTTGGTCTCGAACTCCCGACCTCAGGAGATCTGCCTGCCTCAGCCTCCCAAAGTGCTGGGATTACAGGTGTGAGCTACTGCACCCGGCTGAAATAGGGTCTTTGTAGAAGTTACCAAGTTAAAATGTGGTGAGTAGGATGTGCCCTAATCCAATATGACTGATGTCAGCATAGAAAGGTGAGTTTGGACACAGACACACAGAGAGGGCCATGTGAAGGTGCGGGTGGAAATCAGGGTGGCACATCTGCAAGCCCAAGAGCCACGCGGATGCTCCTCAAGACCCTGGGGAGGAAGCAGCCCTGCCCGAGCCTCGGTCTCCGTGTCTGGCCTCCCGACTGCTAGGCAGTGAGCTTCTGTTGTTTTTGTTGTTGTTTTAAGATGGAGTCTCACTGTCACCCAGGCTGGAGTGCAGGTGGCGCAATCTCGGCTCACTGCAACCTGCGCCGCCCTGGCTCAAGTGACTCTCCTCCCCAGCCTCCTGAGTAGCTGGGATTACAGGCGCCCACCACCACGCCCAGCTAATTTTTGTATTTTTAGTAGAGACGGGGTTTCACCACGTTGGCCAGGCTGGTCTCAAACTCCTGACCTCAAGTGATCCGCCCGCCTCGGCCTCCCAAAGTCAGTTTCTGATGTTATGAACCCCTCACTTTGTGTTCCTTCGCATGGCAGCACTAGCAAGCTAATAAATAAAGTGGGGGAAAAGCCAGGAAATTGAAGAAAATCAGCATTAGGATCTGCCATTCTGAGTCTCTGCTTGTACGGAGCTGAAAAAAGACGTGAGGAGCCATCTGTGGGATGACCCCTGACAGGCAGAAACAGACGTTCGATCTTCCTTCCTGTCCGTCCACACCGTTTGCATTTTGTACCACATTTTTGTAATACCACATTTTGTACCACAATTTCGTAATGTTTTGAAGTAAGAACAGCATCACAGCCACTAACCTTAACTAGACCCTGGTCCCCCAGGCCATGGGGTTATCCCTAAACCTCCCGTCCCCTGCAGCCCCTGCCCCTGGTTCATGGAGCCACCGTTAGACGGGCCCAAGCTGAGGTCCCGGGGCTGCTGCTCTGGGACTGACTGGTGGGTTAGAACACTCTGTCCTTCCCCAGCACCCCTCCCTGTAGGCCCCTTCCAAAAGGCTTTGTTGTTGTTGCTGTTGTTGTTTGAAACAGGGTTTCGCTCTGTCATCCAGGCTGGAGTGCAATGGCACAGTCATAGCTCACTGCAGCCTCCACCTCCTGGGCTCCAGTGATCCTCCTCGGCCTGCACATGGCCACACCCCAGTGACGTTTGAGCAGCTCCGTTCTGAAGGGAGACACACACCTGTTCAGGGAGCCAGAGGGCTGGGGGCGTTGGGTATTGGTGGAAACTTATGCCGAGATTTCTCTGTTCTGTGCATGGAGAGGGCCTAGAGGCAGTGTGACCTCGGGAGCAGTGTGCAGACCAGAACTCAGATTCTAGTTCCAAAGCCCATCTTCCCTAAAAGGAACCAGGGTTCTGCTATGGACTGAATGTGTCCTCCCCAAGATCTGTTTGTTGAAACCCTGGCCCCTAGGCCAGGCATGGTGGCTCATGCCTGTCATCTCAGCATTTTGGGAGGCCGAGGCGGGTGGATCACCTGAGGTTGGGAGTTCCAGACCAGCCCGACCAATATGGAGAAACCCTGTCTCTACTAAAAATACAAAATTAGCTGGGCCTGGTGGTGCACGCCTGTAGTCCCAGCTACTTGGGAGGCTAAGGCAGGACAATCGCTTGAACCTGGAAGGCGGAGGTTGCAGTGAGCTGAGATCACTCCATTGCCCTCCAGCCTGGGTGACAGAGCAAGACTCTGTCTCAGAAAAAAAAAAAGAAAAGGGAGGGAGGGAGGGAAGGGAGGGGAGGGAGGAGGGGAGGGAGGGAGGGAGGGAAGGGAGGGAGAGAGGGAGGGAAGGAACCCTGGCTCCTGCAAGGTGATGGTATTAAGAAGTGGGGTCGGCCAGGCGCGGTGGCTCAAGCCTGTAATCCCAGCACTTTGGGAGGCCAAGGCGGGCGGATCACGAGGTCAGGAGATCGAGACCATCCTGACTAACATGGTGAAACCCTATCTTTACTAAAAATACAAAAAATTAGCCAGGCGTGGTGGCAGGTGCCTGTAGTCCCAGCTACTTGGGAGGCTGAGGCAGGAGAACGGCGTGAACCCGGGAGGTGGAGCTTGCAGTGAGCCGAGACTGTGCCACTGCACCCCAGCCTGGGCGACAGAGTGAGACTCCATCTCAAAAAAAAAAAAAAGTGGGGTCTTTTGGAAGTGGGTAGGTCATGAAGGTGACACCCTCATGACCAGGATCAGCGCCCTCATAAAAGGGACGCTGGAGAGCTCCCTCGCTCCTTCTGCCACGTGAGGAGTCACGGGAAGTCCACAACCCACAAGAGCCCTCGCCAGAACCCAGCCATGCTGGCGTCCTGACCTCGAACTTTGAGCCTCCAGAACTGTGAGGCATGAATGCCACCCGTCCAAGGTCCTTTGCACAGCGTCCCTGGTGGGACCAAGACAGGCTCTGTAGCAGGAGTAGTAGTGGTCTCCTTCCTTATCCCCCCCTTTAAGAATTTTCACTAATTAGTGGGAGTTCTCACTTTTATTTTTACTTTCTGAGTCTTTTTGCAAGACAGAACGATAGTGTTTTATGTAATACACTTGTGCTGAGGTTTGCTGAGGAATCGTGGCAGCTACAAAACCTTTTATCATTTGAAGGAATAAGTGTAATACACAGGGGAGCAGCAAGCGACTTTCTATTACCAGTAATATAATGAGGGTTTTAAATTTTTATAGCTGGAAACTATTTTCTTTTCTTTTCTTTTCTTTTCTTTTTTTTTTTTTTTTGAGACGGAGTCTCGCTCTGTCGCCCAGGCTGGAGTGCAGTGGCTGGATCTCAGCTCACTGCAAGCTCCGCCTCCCGGGTTCCCGCCATTCTCTTGCCTCAGCCTCCCGAGTAGCTGAGACTACAGGCGCCCACCACCTCGCCTGGCTGTGTTTTTTTTTTTTTTTTTTTCTTAGTAGAGACGGGGTTTCACTATGTTAGCCAGGATGGTCTCGATCTCCTGACCTCGTGATCTGCCCGCCTCAGCCTTTCAAAGTGCTGGGGTTACAGGCTGGAGCCACCATGCCTGGCCTACTTGCTTTTTTCTACCAACTCTTAGCCTCTGCAGAAGTGCTTCTCGGTACCTCTGCAAACGCTGAAGCTAAGTTGCATTCTCTGGGTGTTTTTTTCCTTTTTCCTAGAGTTTAACAGGCTCTTTTCTTCATATAATTCTCCATGCACTTGGAGGGTTAAACAGGCATTATACCGAGAGTCAGTGTAAATGTTGACAGTCTTACCTTTACTGAGTTCTTTTTTTTTTTTTTTTTTGAGACGGAGTCTCGCTCTGCCGCCCAGGCTGGAGTGCAATGGCCGGATCTCAGCTCACTGCAAGCTCCGCCTCCCGGGTTCACGCCATTCTCCTGCCTCAGCCTCCCGAGTAGCTGGGACTACAGGCGCCCACCACCTCGCCCGGCTATTTTTTTGTATTTTTAAGTAGAGACGGGGTTTCACCGTGTTAAAAAAACAGGGCTAAATTTATCCTGGTTTTGTCTATATTATATTTAACCATGAGTCAATCTAAAGGAACTTGATCTAGGTACACTGGCTGTCCTCCAACCCCTGTCACCACCTTAAATACATGGCCAATTGTTCCTTGTCTATAGTTCCTTCGGTGGGCCATCCGACACCAAAAGAGGGCAGTTCTAATTCACACAGAGATCTTAACCTCTAAGGGGTTAACTTAACTCTATAATCTCCTGCAAAACCTTTCTCAAGGTTCTGTAACATGCATTTTAATAGAGTAAGTTTTGATGATTTGATGACTTTCCTTTTATTTTTTTGAAACTTTTCTTTTTGAATTTTTTTTTTTTTTTTTTTTTTTGAGACGGAGTCTGGCTCTGTCGCCCAGGCTGGAGTGCAGTGGCCGGATCTCAGCTCACTGCAAGCTCCGCCTCCCAGATTTACGCCATTCTCTTGCCTCAGCCTCCGGAGTAGCTGGGACTACAGGCGCCGCCACCTCGCCCGGCTAGTTTTTTGTATTTTTTAGTAGGGACAGGGTTTCACCGTGTTAGCCAGGATGGTCTCGACCTCCTGACCTCGTGATCTGCCCGTCTCGG